ATCAAGGGCTTAGTGCAATAAATCAACAATTGTCAGCAATAGAATCTATGCTTCCAAAAAAATCATTATCAGACATAGAACAACTAATTAATCCATCTGAACTGAGCGATCCTATAATTATAAAGAAACATGATATTCGTGACAGTGTTTTTAAAAAATCATATAAAAATATAGAGGTTGCTTGTAAAGGTATTAAAGATTCTAAAGAAATCGAAGCTAAGCTAACTATCTTAACAAAAGTAAATATGTCAGCAAAAATTCTCCGTTTTTACGGCATATCACATCTCAACGATGATAAAGTTTTTGTCTTTGAATGGGCTGAACATGGGAATTTAAATGAATTTTATCAAAGGTTTGATATTCCTTGGACTAGAAAAATACAAATAATTTTGGATATTGGAAGTGCTATACTTTTTCTGGATAACTGCAATATATTACACAATGATATTAGATGTAAAAATGTGATGGTTGGTAAATTGGTATAACTTGATATGATGCTAAAAACAAAGCTTATTAATTAGGCCTTTAACATAGATAACTGATAATCTCGAAGCTAAATTGACAAATTTCAGATTTTCTCATATGAAAGATGATAAATTCATCGATATCTTATCACATTATCCAGATCTTATACGTTGGATGGCTCCTGAAGTTATTAAGAATCATCATTCATCTACAATAAAAAGCGAGATTTTCAGGTTTGTATTAATTTTATGTTTTTTTTTTTAAATTATTCTATTTATAGTAATGTATTATTGGCCTTAAATAGCTTTGGAATGTTTATGTGGGAACTTTGCTATGAAAAAATTCCTTATAAAGATATGACTTCTAAGAGAATATCAAAACATATCTTAGATAATAAACGAGAAGAAACACCAATTAAAAACTATAATTCTAATGATGAAAAGATTCTTAGAAACCTTATAGACCTTATTCATTGTAGTAAGTATATTTAATAAATATAATGTTAAATTTTATCTTGTATTCTTGTTTTTTTTTTTAACGAAACTATATAATTCTAAATACAATATTTTCATAAAATTTTTAATGTTTAACCATCATTTACATATGTTTACATGTATTTTCAATAGCTTGGAAAAAAGAAGCATCTTCACGCATAAATTTGATTGACATGCTTAAGTTACTTGATGATTTAGCATCAAAATATCCTTCTTATTCTCAAGCATTAATGATGAAAGATTCTTCGGCACTTTCTAATCAAGATTCAAACATCATTCCTTTTGAAAATGTTGAAAAAGGAATCCAATATCATGAAGATGGTAATTATAAAAATGCTTGGGAATGTTTTAAAGCAAATGCTCAAGTGGGTGATTCCAAAGCAAAATATTGGCAAGGATATTATCTATGGGAAGGATATTATATACAAAAAGGTAGACAAGAAGATAGACAAGAAGCCGTTAAACTTTTTAAAGAAGCTGCTGAAGATAACATTTCTGATGCACAATTACGTTATGCGTTGGCTTTGATGAGTGATAAAGAAAAGCAAAATATAGATGATAAATTGTTATCATATATCAGATCTTCCGCTAAAAATGATAATACTACAGCTCAATTTATATATGGTGATATTTATTTAAATGGAAAATTTGGCATAAAAAAAGATAAAGATAAAGGGTTAAAATATTTAAAACTTGCAGCTAATAAAAATTATTCTAAAGCAATTAGGTTATTATGTAGAGAAAATAAATTGAATTTTAATCTCTTAGATTATAGCACATAAGAAAAAGATTATAATACGGACTGAGAATGTTTCCAGGCTCATTCCGAGTTGGGCAAAATATTGTTTAAGATATTATCTGTCTGAAGTCAAAGAACGTGTTATAGCTTAGTATAATTTAGGTGTTGTTTATTTAAATAGAAAATTGTTATCCTGTAAATGAAGAATTGGTATTAAATACTTAAAATTAACTACCCTAAAACTTCTTGATGAGAAAAAATAAAATAGACTTACGGTGTTTAACACTATATATTGTATATTTTATTGCCATATATTCATTATTTGTACTATAAAATTTTTACTAATATAATTTAAATTCAATATTATAGTTGAATGTTGCATACTTATACTGTCTATTTTATTGCTATATATCCATTATTTGAGTGTCGCTAAAAGAAAACCCAAAAATTTAAATATAAGTCATATTTAAATTTTTGGTTTTTCTTTTGTACTATAAAATTTTTACTAGTTTAATTTAAATTCAATATTATAGTTGAATGTTGCATACTTTTACTCGAAATACCAAGTATTGATTGTTTATCAAAACTTTAATAAGTAGCTACTAAGCATAGCTGGCTTTTATTATAATTGGCAGGTCATCATAACATTAAAGTAACAATTTTTTGTCACAAGATTGAATTCCAAGCCACGAATATGAATTCCAGGGGGCAAGACAAAAAATTAGAAAGTTTACGTCTTATTTCATAAACTGTCAAAGTAATTCGATAATCCGCGAAGTAATTCAGAAGTTAGATGAGAGGTATGTTTGAATTTTTAAGTTTGACTTATGGGTTCAGTAAATCAATTAAACTTGGTACTTAAACGTTCTTTTATGTATTTTGTGAAAACTTATTCTTCGTAATCCCAATTAATATAGAACCTTGACTATTAAGAATATGAAGTTGAGAGTAATAAGGTTTATAGATTTCGTGAGGAGTTAAAGAGTAGTATTGTAACTGTTATACCAATTGTAATAAAATTAAAGATCAGTTGGATGTTGAAGCGAATAAAAAGTTGTTTTTGATTATTTTTTATTAGCAAATAGTGTTTTAGAATATGTTCAACATTTATTTCTTGTATGTTTTGTTTTTGGTACTTTTTTTTTTCTTTTTTGATTTGCAGTATATTAGGAATATTGATTCAATAAAATTTTGGTTTGTCTGCGACAAGATTATAGTTTTAGATTTAAAGTTATCGAGATTTCATGATAAAGACTTTTTCTGGTATTAATTTCACTATAAATATAGCTATCTTCATAAATATCAATTCTTTATTCATGACAATTCAGTTAAAGTTTTGGACTTCGATTAATTTCGATTAACAATAAAATTTTTACTATATAACGGTTTAGCGATACTGATCTGATGGGGTAAAGAAAAATATTATTTAAACATTGCTCCTGATAGATATTTAAAAAAGACCCAAATTCCAACTTATTTCATACAAGTGCACTCAAGGAAAAACCTATTATTAGACTTCACTTATATCTTACTTCAGACTCCGTTAAAAATCTGACCATTTACATAATATATTAGATATGAGTGCGGCTAAGGAAAACCTCGATCCTGTTTTTTTGCTAGACTCGGCCCGGTCGTGATCCGAAACATATGTGATACGTAAGTAATAGTAAACAGTGTATCATGGGATAAGCGGAATTTTCATTTCCATTATACACATAGAACCAGTGTATGGCTATTACTTGCGTATCAAAAAAAAACAGGATCGAGGTTTTCCTTTAGCCGCATTCATATAATATGTGTTGATCAGATCGTTTATGGATAAGTTCAAACCGAAATATAATTAAACGTCTGATAAAAGCTTTTTTCTTGAATACGATACGCATATGTGTTTGGCAATTGTAGTGTAGAATTTTAGAGGCTCTTTTCTAGACCTCCATTAGTAATATTTTAATAGGGCAAGCACAGCATATGAGCAGCCTGAGCAGGTCATTAATGTTGTTAATGGTGTGGATTTTGTTGGTTTGTTCCACTCCATTACACAATTCTTCAGGTTTGTGGCGCAGATTTCCTGAACGAATCAGATTTCAAGATCAGGTGCAACGAAGCACGAACAGGAAAATTCAAAACGGACGACCGTTTAGTTAATAATCGCTTATTTCTTGAAAATTGCATATAAAACTACTCTTCGCGCATAAACAAAAAGTTTCCCTAAGTAATTTTACTATTTACGTTCCTAATTTTTAACCATAATAAAAGTCCTAACCTAACATAAACGACCTTGATAAACTGGTATCTCAATCCGAATTAGCAAATGTCAAGTCACTCTCGTTATAATGAACTCTCGATATAAAAACTAATTAAAATCTCGATACAGTGAAATTAAGGTCAAAGTCAGTTTATATCAAATTCTCTCGATATAGTGAATTTACTAATAAAACTCTCGATGTAATGAATTTTTAAAAAATTTTTATTAATGAAACAGGTCGCTTCGCTATAATGAGAATGACTTGTATAACGATAATACAAGTTTTCACGTCAACTAAAAAAGAAATAATCATCCATTTTATCATTAACGTTAACCATAATCTACATCATTAAACCAAATTATTGTAACAGTGAAAGTTTGATTTCTTCAAGCAATAAGTATTTAAATCTTTTTGGATGTTAATTTCAAAATTTTTTTTTGATGTCTAATTTATCGATCAATGTTATGGATATTTATTAATTGTCAATTTAACAATTCTTTATTAATATTTTATAACTAGAAAAAAAATGAAATAAAAATCTTATTTGTCCTATAAGTATCTTGCAATCAGCCCTCTAAAAAAAGGTTTGATTTAAAATTGTTTAGAATGGAGTCGATTTTCCTTACAGGGTTTATTTTTATACTATTTTCATTACGATATTGTACAGGATGTAAAAATAGAGAATTTTGAATTGATTAGTTATTATATAAAAAGCGAATAATATTCAATAAACACCCGGTAAATGTTTGGAACGGAGTCGATTTGCCAAACAAAAAATCGGACAATTTCAGAATGATTTTAAAAACTTTTTTTTTTATTTATATGGGAAGAAATTTATACCTCCAGTGTTTTCAACATGTCCAATAATTTTACATCATCCGTATTATCTTAAACTACTCTATATAAGAATAGCATATTAAGAATTAAATAAGAAAAAATAATAAATAGAAAAATTTTGTAACACTTATAACAACTTTAATTAAATAACCGGTTGAGTCTTAAAACTGGGAACTAAATAATATGAAGCTGGTAAAAGATTGATTCTTGATCGTTTTTCTATGTAAGTCTGATTAATTGAACGGGAAACGATCGTAAATCTACTACTACAATCTCTGTGGTGTTATTAGTTGGAGGTAATTGAGGAGTAGTAGTAGGCAGAATTGTGATGGATTGTGTAGCAGTAGACGGAATTGTGGATGTAATATTAGACGTAATTGTGGAAGTGATATTAGACTGAATTGTGGATGTAATATTAGACGTAATTGTGGATGTGATATTAGACTGAATTGTGGAAGTAATATAAGGCTGAATTATGGAAGTAATATTAGACGGAATTGTGGCTGAGCTTGAGGAGGTTGAGCTGATTGATCTTTAGGAGGATACTTATGACCATTACCACCATTACCACCATTACCTCCATTACCTCCATTACCTCCATTACCTCCATTACCATTACCACCATTACCGCCATTACCACTAAAAGGATTACCATCGCCAAAACTATTAGCGAGGACTACAACAGCAGTCAGACCGGCAAAAGTAGCAGCATATTCACTTTCAGAAATAGTTGCAATCGCTTCATAATACTCAGTAAGTTGGTCAGCAAGATCCAAAAGATCCATAGCATCCTGAATATATGAAAGATTCTGATCATCAACAGGCAAAGCACCTACGGCACCTACAGCTCCAGAGCCACCATGATTACGATGACTACCATGCCTATTACGATGATCGGCATCATTTCCTGGTCCTCCTCCTTTATCACCCGAACTTTTTGGATCACCTTTATTTTTCGGATCTTTGGGGTTTTTACTTGTTGGCTTCGGTCTTTTTGTTTCTTCTGCTTTTGTTTTTTTTGCATTTGTTTCTTTTGCTTTTGTTTTTGATGCATGAGGAGTTTGAGATGGTTGATCTTTAGGATGTTGAGTTGGTTGGTCATGAGGAGGTTTATCAACTAAACCACCACCACCCAAACCATCACCACCCAAGCCACCATTATCGCCAAGACCACTAGAGGTCAAAGAATCAGTCATACCGGCAAAAGCATCAGCATATCTACTTTCAGCAATAATGTTCAGTGCATTAAAATAATCAGTAAGTCCTTCAGAAAGAGAATCCGAAAGATACTCCTGACCCGGAATATTAGCGCTACCACCATGATGATGAGAACGATGACGTCCATCATCTCCTGGTCCTCCTCCACCATCACCACCATTTTTTGGAACTTTATTATTTTTTGGATTTTCATGTTCGTTTTTTGTTGGCCTCGGTCTTTTTGTTTCTTCTGCTTCTGTTTTTGATCCTTTTGCATTTGTTTTTGATTCTTTTGCATTTGTTTTGGTAGCCGTTTCAGTCGCTTTAGTCGTTGTGGCAGTTTCAGTTATTGAAGCTGTTACTGAAGCTGTTATAGGTGTAATAGGTGGTGGACAAACTTTACTTCTATCGGCAAATTGCATAACATCCTTGTCTTGATTAACCGTATAGTAAAAATTCTTTGACAAGAAAGTAAATAATTGTTAATGTATACTGTACATCAAAAATATTCAATCGTTAGCAAAAATTTTAAAAAAATTTCTGTTTTAATTTCTTTTATAGTATTAACTTTTTTAAAATAATAATAATAATAATTACTTGAAGAAATGGAGTTCCAAGTATAAATGAACCATTAGGTCCAGGTTTATCATCAAAAATGGATATACAACTTGATTCAATATTATCTTCACAAGTTACAGAACCTGGTAATGTAAATTGCACTATTTCATCATCATCCAATGTAACATCAAATGATATATTAATGGGCTTTGGCACTTTCCATCCTTTAGGTGATTTAGTAGCCTTTAATAGCTTAAAGAAATCGCGGGCAGCCTTTCCAAGAGAAATTTTATTCTTCTAATATCAATAATTGACTTAGTTGTAGTTGTATTAAGAGGTATTTCTCCAACATATAATACGTTAATGGTCATTGAATAGCTCGGATCCTTAGCATTTAATGATACATTATAAAAAGGACCTACAACAAAAAATTTTAAATTATTTAGAATTATATAGATTATATATAATATCTAATAACTGTAATAATTACTACAAACCTTGTATGAGTCTATTATCTATTCCTCCAAATGCGATAGAACCAACCTTGCATTTGCCTTGTGGAAGCGCGATTCCAAGAGTTCTATCTAATCCAGCACGTTTTAATCCATCCCATATCTAATTATTTTATAAATGTGTATGTTAGAAAATTTATACTCATAATAATAAAGTATCACAAATCATGATTAATTTAATTACATCAGATTTCAATCCAAATCCCATAACTCCTTCAACAGAAGCTTGGTCCTTAAGTAAACCCTTTATTTGCTTAGCTAAGACAATGTCTGTTTTCAAAGTTTTAGAATTACCAAATTTAATATTATCAGAACCAGTTTTCCCAGAAACTACCGATCCATCAAGATATTTTATTTGGTCAAACGGCTTGGAAATGCCTTTAAAAGTGTTAGAACTGTCCGAATCAAAGATTTCATCACGAGTTGAGCAGTCAGATCCTTTGCAAAGTTGACTGGCTACTACAAAATCATTGGAGTTTATATCAGGAGCTACATTAACGAATCGTTGGTCTGGTTGATCTTGTCCCTTTGTTTTTCCTGTTTTCCCTGTTTTTCCTTGTTTTCCTGTTCCTTTCCCCATTGGTTTTGCTTCTCCTATTTCAACTGATAATAATAAAACAAAGGAAGAATTGTTGTTGGAAGATTTAGTCGAGCTTGCAGTTTTAATCAAATCAACTATTATTTCAGATCCAATGCGATTTGGCTGATTTGGCCGATTTGTCTGATTTGGCCGCTTTGGCTGATTTTTCTGATTTTGCCGTGGTTTCATGTTAATTTTTACATCCTGAAAACTATTTCCATCAAAGAAAGGATGTTCTGTCCAAATAATGATGATGAAAGGACATAAAATGAAAAATTGTATAAATTTTTTGACAAGAATGTTATAACGAGAAAAGATATTCATTGAAATATATAATAATTATAATAACTATAGTAATTAGTGAGGAATCAAGCCATGATTCTTGACTTAATATATATAATTTTTTTATTTTAATCAATAATAAATAGTTTGTAATCGAAAATGAATATGATACTAGAAATTCTATCGTTGTAATAATATACCTGAAACATGTTTAAACACTTAAATCATAAAACTTGTAGTTATTTAATTTAAAATAATCATTTAAAGCATAGTATAGTCTAGAAATGGTTATACTCATATAATGTAGGAAAGTCAGTAAGTTTACAATATCCAATATATATTTGTATATTAACTTTAATGACCTAATATTTATTTTTTACTTCATGGAGTAACTTGCAGATAATGTAAAAAGATTTGCATTTAGTTCATTCTAACGTCTGTAATTATAAGGATAAATGTAACACGGTCCATAGTAGCAATCATTATGGCAGATATTACGGGCCCTTATAAGCAGGTTAAGCTAATCAACATCCCTTGCTAACATGGTTCGTTTACAAAAGATGAACGATGGTCTCTCATACGGTCTCGGTATAGTGGGGTAACATCTAATCTATATAATTGGGTTGTTTCACGAGAATCATATTCGTGTAACATTCGTTCGCGTGTCAACATTTATCCTTGCAAAAACTTAATTTTTTTCTGTCAGCAAAAATTACATATAGTTGTTTCATATTTTCCAGTAACCGAATCGACAAATTATCGAGTCAAAATTAGGGTACTGAAAATTAATTGCAATTAAATTTTTATGCAGTCACGACCAACTAAAAATTATTTAATAAACAATTGCAATACAATTTAATTGTGAATAATTGCAATTTTTATTTTTACTAGAAAAGTTTGCTATAATATTAAGTTTTTTTTTGACTTTAAAATACTCTACTTTGAAACTTAAAAAAATTAATCACACCCATCTGTAGATCTAAAAAAACAACTTTTATGTAGCACTTATTCAAAACTTTTGCGTTCATTTAGGCAAAAAGGTAGGGTGTTATTTCAATAAATGCTTCAATAAAACAAATGTAAACTATGCAGGTCATTAAAAAAAACGCACCTAAAAAAAAAATTGATAGCTTGATCTTTTTATTCAATTACGTATAAGGTTATTTTACCAGGAATGGAGTGATATATAATATTACAAAATATATGGTTCATATTTAGTGATTTAACCTCGTAATTGATTGACAGTGAATTAAATGCAATAAAACGTGGAAATACTGTATTTAAACACCGCAATATTGCATCACACATAGCATTAAATTTATATTAAATAGTATGAGATATGTTTAACCGTGCGAACGTACAGGACTAACTTGTATGTTTATCGCTTTAACGGGTTTTTGCCTCGAATAAAATGCATGGCAATCATTTATAAAAATATGATTTCTTTCTTTATTTTATCTTTGGAATTTCATCAACAAAATCTGAACTTTGCCATTTTGATTCTTTTGCATTTGTTTTGGTAGCCGTTTCAGTCGCTTTAGTCGTTGTGGCAGTTTCAGTTATTGAAGCTGTTACTGAAGCTGTTATAGGTGTAATAGGTGGTGGACAAACTTTACTTCTATCGGCAAATTGCATAACATCCTTGTCTTGATTAACCGTATAGTAAAAATTCTTTGACAAGAAAGTAAATAATTGTTAATGTATACTGTACATCAAAAATATTCAATCGTTAGCAAAAATTTTAAAAAAATTTCTGTTTTAATTTCTTTTATAGTATTAACTTTTTTAAAATAATAATAATAATAATTACTTGAAGAAATGGAGTTCCAAGTATAAATGAACCATTAGGTCCAGGTTTATCATCAAAAATGGATATACAACTTGATTCAATATTATCTTCACAAGTTACAGAACCTGGTAATGTAAATTGCACTATTTCATCATCATCCAATGTAACATCAAATGATATATTAATGGGCTTTGGCACTTTCCATCCTTTAGGTGATTTAGTAGCCTTTAATAGCTTAAAGAAATCGCGGGCAGCCTTTCCAAGAGAAATTTTATTCTTCTAATATCAATAATTGACTTAGTTGTAGTTGTATTAAGAGGTATTTCTCCAACATATAATACGTTAATGGTCATTGAATAGCTCGGATCCTTAGCATTTAATGATACATTATAAAAAGGACCTACAACAAAAAATTTTAAATTATTTAGAATTATATAGATTATATATAATATCTAATAACTGTAATAATTACTACAAACCTTGTATGAGTCTATTATCTATTCCTCCAAATGCGATAGAACCAACCTTGCATTTGCCTTGTGGAAGCGCGATTCCAAGAGTTCTATCTAATCCAGCACGTTTTAATCCATCCCATATCTAATTATTTTATAAATGTGTATGTTAGAAAATTTATACTCATAATAATAAAGTATCACAAATCATGATTAATTTAATTACATCAGATTTCAATCCAAATCCCATAACTCCTTCAACAGAAGCTTGGTCCTTAAGTAAACCCTTTATTTGCTTAGCTAAGACAATGTCTGTTTTCAAAGTTTTAGAATTACCAAATTTAATATTATCAGAACCAGTTTTCCCAGAAACTACCGATCCATCAAGATATTTTATTTGGTCAAACGGCTTGGAAATGCCTTTAAAAGTGTTAGAACTGTCCGAATCAAAGATTTCATCACGAGTTGAGCAGTCAGATCCTTTGCAAAGTTGACTGGCTACTACAAAATCATTGGAGTTTATATCAGGAGCTACATTAACGAATCGTTGGTCTGGTTGATCTTGTCCCTTTGTTTTTCCTGTTTTCCCTGTTTTTCCTTGTTTTCCTGTTCCTTTCCCCATTGGTTTTGCTTCTCCTATTTCAACTGATAATAATAAAACAAAGGAAGAATTGTTGTTGGAAGATTTAGTCGAGCTTGCAGTTTTAATCAAATCAACTATTATTTCAGATCCAATGCGATTTGGCTGATTTGGCCGATTTGTCTGATTTGGCCGCTTTGGCTGATTTTTCTGATTTTGCCGTGGTTTCATGTTAATTTTTACATCCTGAAAACTATTTCCATCAAAGAAAGGATGTTCTGTCCAAATAATGATGATGAAAGGACATAAAATGAAAAATTGTATAAATTTTTTGACAAGAATGTTATAACGAGAAAAGATATTCATTGAAATATATAATAATTATAATAACTATAGTAATTAGTGAGGAATCAAGCCATGATTCTTGACTTAATATATATAATTTTTTTATTTTAATCAATAATAAATAGTTTGTAATCGAAAATGAATATGATACTAGAAATTCTATCGTTGTAATAATATACCTGAAACATGTTTAAACACTTAAATCATAAAACTTGTAGTTATTTAATTTAAAATAATCATTTAAAGCATAGTATAGTCTAGAAATGGTTATACTCATATAATGTAGGAAAGTCAGTAAGTTTACAATATCCAATATATATTTGTATATTAACTTTAATGACCTAATATTTATTTTTTACTTCATGGAGTAACTTGCAGATAATGTAAAAAGATTTGCATTTAGTTCATTCTAACGTCTGTAATTATAAGGATAAATGTAACACGGTCCATAGTAGCAATCATTATGGCAGATATTACGGGCCCTTATAAGCAGGTTAAGCTAATCAACATCCCTTGCTAACATGGTTCGTTTACAAAAGATGAACGATGGTCTCTCATACGGTCTCGGTATAGTGGGGTAACATCTAATCTATATAATTGGGTTGTTTCACGAGAATCATATTCGTGTAACATTCGTTCGCGTGTCAACATTTATCCTTGCAAAAACTTAATTTTTTTCTGTCAGCAAAAATTACATATAGTTGTTTCATATTTTCCAGTAACCGAATCGACAAATTATCGAGTCAAAATTAGGGTACTGAAAATTAATTGCAATTAAATTTTTATGCAGTCACGACCAACTAAAAATTATTTAATAAACAATTGCAATACAATTTAATTGTGAATAATTGCAATTTTTATTTTTACTAGAAAAGTTTGCTATAATATTAAGTTTTTTTTTGACTTTAAAATACTCTACTTTGAAACTTAAAAAAATTAATCACACCCATCTGTAGATCTAAAAAAACAACTTTTATGTAGCACTTATTCAAAACTTTTGCGTTCATTTAGGCAAAAAGGTAGGGTGTTATTTCAATAAATGCTTCAATAAAACAAATGTAAACTATGCAGGTCATTAAAAAAAACGCACCTAAAAAAAAAATTGATAGCTTGATCTTTTTATTCAATTACGTATAAGGTTATTTTACCAGGAATGGAGTGATATATAATATTACAAAATATATGGTTCATATTTAGTGATTTAACCTCGTAATTGATTGACAGTGAATTAAATGCAATAAAACGTGGAAATACTGTATTTAAACACCGCAATATTGCATCACACATAGCATTAAATTTATATTAAATAGTATGAGATATGTTTAACCGTGCGAACGTACAGGACTAACTTGTATGTTTATCGCTTTAACGGGTTTTTGCCTCGAATAAAATGCATGGCAATCATTTATAAAAATATGATTTCTTTCTTTATTTTATCTTTGGAATTTCATCAACAAAATCTGAACTTTGCCATTTTCTGAAAATGCAAATTCTTGAATTGAATTCGGGACCTATATGGCTCTTCATCATAAATATCAAATATTGCATGACATTTTAACACGTATCTATGCTTACCGTTACAGAAAACCGTGGATCGATCATTTTCAAATTTTTTGATCCTCTACTAAATAGTGTGTGTATTTTTTTTGATAATTAAATTGAAAAAAAAAGAATAAGCTCTCTATTTCTTATTTTCTCGTTAATGTCGATTAGTAGACCAATATAATGATTAATTAACAACGAAGCACTCATAATAACTATTCAAGTCACATTTTACAGTGGTCGGAAAAAAGATTCGGAAATAATTATTTGCATCATGCATTCCATAAATCAAGAATTACCGTTCCAATTTCGATGGTTCTATAATTAAACGAATGCTGCAAACTGTAGGATCTAAGTTAAGATTGTACAAAACGGATTAGTCATTCATGAAATTTTATTTTAATTGAGTGCTAAGAACGTTAGTATTCATTCAAGTCCAAAAATCAAAAGTAGATTAGTCTATCGGAGCATCACTGTGATTATCCATGTGGGTAATTATTTTTGAATCCGGACCAATTATATATGACATAATAACATTTTGGTCTGGATTCAAAAATAATTATCCATGTTTGATAAATTTAAAGGAAATTTACAGATAATGGCCTGGAAAGTGAAAATAATTACAAATATGGGCCAAATTAAAAATAATTACATTTAAGGGCCTAATTTTTAAAAAATATAGGGGTTATTGCGCCACAAAGTACTGTGATTATTTGACTTATATCGATTGCAAAATCGCGATAATAGGATTATCAATTTATAAGTATTTATAGTTATCTATATACAGATTATTAATAAAAGGATAAATGAAGCTCTGGTTATAATCATCGTTTAAATATTGTATAAAAAATAACGTTGAACTAGCACAATTATTAATAAGGCGAAGAAGTTTCAACAGAGAGCAGCTCTCAAGTGCTGAACGAATATCTTCAATATTAGTAAATGT